TTAGGCTTTGAAGGCCCACGAGTTGGCCTACTTTTGTCGGCTAGTGCCCGGCACTAGCTTGGCAACCCAATCGGCTAGTGCTAGTGCCCCCTTGAAATGGCTCCCACCTTCGTGTGTGTGGCTCGGACTCGGCTCGGCGTGCATAAAGCACTCCTAGCTTGGGGTTAGCCTAGCGTGCATAAGGCACACCCGGACTACTAGTGGTCCGGCATGCTTAGCCGGCTAGTGTTTTGGGGTATGCTTACATGTACCTAGCTTGGCTTTTGGCCCGGCATGCACGAGGTGTGCCCGGCCTAGCGTACGCCATAGCCAATGCCCAACGTTGGCCTCGCGCATGCCCTTCCCACAAGTCCAAAATTAGTTTAAAAATACATTATAAAATGCAAAAATCATCAAATCTATAATGCAAAAATCAATAATTATTATAGTTAATCAAAATTAATATCAATACAATTAAAGATTCAATGGTGGCTCGATACTAATTAAAGGATCATGCATCTTATAAAGGTGTGAAATAAATAAAAAGTTTTTGTCTTCCTTCATCTAAAGTCCTAAGATCAGCCATTGAATCAACTAACTATATATTAATAACAAAATGATTAGGTGTTACCTTTTGTAGTGTAGAATTATATTTGTAGTAAGAGCCTCAAAGCATTCAGCCTCTACTAATGATTTACATAGCTAAACACCTCATAAGAAGTGACAAAAAACATAGAGTGCTAGCTCCAATATTTTCTACTATGTATAATTTTCTCTCAAAAAAATCTATCAAGGGTTACACAATATATCTTTAGAGAGAGAGAGGGTGGCATGTTTGATTATTGTTTAGGGAGAGATGTATAAATTTTGATCTAACTCTTTGATTGCTTATGTGTTATTCCACTTATGTGTCTCTCTCTCCCTCTCACTTATATAGGTGGAAACAACTCCTTTTTCGAAAAGAAGTTGTAACTTTTGTGGTCTTTGTTTTATCTTATCCTCATAAATCCTAAGCCTTATCCTTAAGTGCTCAAGATTATCCCTCTACTTAAAATACCTTGCGAGGCTTTACTTAAGCTTGTTGGCCCAAACTCCTTTGGCCCAATAGCTCAATAATTAATTTAGACCATCCAATAAATTGGGTCAAGTATTTTTAAGAAGGCCCACATTAGAAAATAATTTTATAAGTTATCCTTGTATTTTATTAAAGCTAAATTAGGAAACTAATTTCTATTTTAGGTAACTAACTTCTAAGTTAAGAAACTAATTTTTAAATTAGAAAACTAATTTCGGTAATTTCTAAAATAAGAATTGATTTTCAAATTAGAAAACTGATTTTCAAAATAGAAAACTTTTTTCAAAATCTTCACTTCTCTTTTTTGTGTGAATGATTAAACTTATTCATGTGACTTAATATGACTCAATATGCTCCTAAATATACTAGAAATGTATCGAGAAGATAAAAGACACATCTTTTATCTCTTGATACATAAATCAAGATTAGCCTCTTATAAGGTATCATGATTATACAATTCTCTAGTCTTTTATATCTTGATATATAAATCAAAATTGGCTTCTTATAAGGCATCATGACTACATAATTTTCTAGAAAGATTACTTAATTCATAATAATCTTTCATCGAGTATAGTTTTCATATATTTTAGTCCTCATGTCAATTTATAATAATATGATCTCGAACTTGGTTTGTTGTCTATTCAATTATGATCACACAAATTTTCTTTGATCTTCAAATATCTTACAACTATTCTTTATTGGTATATTTCCACAATGGCCATAGTTTCTTTAAAAAACATTTATCGAAGTGCAATGTGATAACTTCTTTAGCATATAAGAAATGATATGTCCTATCTAAATCATTCACTTATCTCTATTAGATTCTTAATGTATCTAATGAATCACCCATATATAGCTCTTTACTAAGCTCATTGAAAAGAACATCAAAGTACACCAATCCTCTAACGAGATAACCGTGGTGACTTTAAATCAAAGGACTATTTATATCCATTTTGTATGAGATTCTCATAGACAATACCAAATGAGTTCTCATGACGAGTCACATCTAGTGATATGCTCTTTAGCATTATCTACCCGAGTGCTTACTTTGACATCATCATGTCGGAAGGTGTGAGATCCCTACTATTATCTTATAGCAAGAGATAGCACTCATGAGTATTTTCGTATATTGTCAATGTTCAATCTTGACAATGCTATGACTTGAGATATTTAATGATATTGTTTATGTACATTGATGTTTATCTTACATCTTTTGATCAATCATTAATACAATGCATATCATATGGACTTCTATCTAATTCTATCAAATTATAAATAACAAGAATTAATAGAAATACTTCTTTATTAATATTAAAAATGTATTGATACAATATATCAAACCATCTAAATAGGTTGGATCTTGGGCACTTACTTTAACAACATTTAAAAAGAATATGATCGAAACCTAAACATTTAAAACACTATCTAGAGGTAGTGCCTTCAACCATAGCACTTAGTTAGCTTACAACCCTCCCCGCTACACCCCAAACCTCTTGAGGGATAGAACCTAAACTCTTAATGTTCCACTAGAACTAAAACTCCCCTTATTTCTAATCGTGACCCTATTGTTTCATCGAGATGATTTCGTTACCTCTCAACCTTTATAGATAACTTGATAACATCTTATATGGTATGATAAGATTGTATTTGAATGACATTATTAGTTTCTTATTTCAACCCCCTCAAGAATCTTACAACCACGTACTCCTATGACTTATTGAGCTCGTACCTCAACATGAGTTGTTCGAGCTCAACTACATACTTTTTCACATTAAGAGAGCCTTGTTTCGGATAGTGTAATTTCAAAAAGGTACCCTTCTTATGAAACTTTGATAAAAAATTCTCCTTTAAGACCTCTTTCATCTCAAACTATGTCACAATCCATAGCTTACCCTCTAGTACTCACTTAATCTTCATATTTTTCCACCATAGAGTTGTATTCTTAATGAGTTATAAGCTACTAGTTTGACCTTTTTATGGTTAGGTACTACTAAAAAATTAAAAACTTTCTCTATGATTTATAACCAATCGGTAAACTCATCTAAATTAAGTTTTCCCTTAAATTTAGGAATCCTTAACTTGACCTTATAGTTGTGGTGCTGATTCCTTTAAGGTCTCTCAACTCGGGATGCCACCTCCTCTTTTTTAAAAGATTTGGTCCGCAACACATGGAAAGGATTCTCCTCTTCGGGTTCCTCTTTTCGATTCATATTTTTGCTACCTTTTCCATTTGCAACCTCTTGGCCCATTCCATATTCCTAAAGTTCTTACAAATCATGGTTCCTCTATCGAAACTCTTCATCATCTTATTGTGATTTTTTGATAACTCGTTACATGTCTTACATGGTCATCATATTTGCTAGACACTTTCTTGAAGGCATCTTTGCTTTGGTTAAATCACACCACAAAAGTGAAACCTAAGCTCTCATACGAAACTAATGTCTAGATAATGTGATGCCTCTAAATCCTAAATAAGCTTAATCAACAATCACAAGATAAAAATCCTTAATAGATTCTTATAATAATGTTGTGAGTCTATAGATTACCAAATCCCTACTCAATCGTAGACATAAAACGATTTATGAAATAAGTCACCCGATTGACCGGAATAGGGTTTAGATGTTCCCTAGGTTATACTTGTTCATACGAGATGAAACTTTACCATAATATACCTAAAATTAGTCATAAAGGAATGTAAAAATTTAGATCAAATTAAGTTTCTTATGAACTTATTTAGGTCGGATGATTTTTTACATCTAAATCTGTCTTTGCACTATCTTAAATTCCAGCAAGGTGTTTGAATCCGCACACCCCACAAATCAATTTCAAAATATCATAAATTTTATACACAACTACAAGAGGTCCAATAGAATGCCTCTAGAAATGTTTAGCCCTAACGAGATAATTATAGCCCCTCCAAGATAAGGTATTTTGAGAATAACTTTTAAGAATTATGCTACCTAGTTTATGCCGATCAAACTAGCATTACTATAAAATCATGCAAGTTTAATTAATCAATTCTAGAACTAAACCAAGTTCTTAAATCAAGGAAGAGTAAAAAGCACTTACAGAGTTAACATGCCAAAAAACTTGAAAATATAACCCTAAGCTCTTGCATGCAATGATCTAAACCCATCTTAATCGATCAATCTAAATATGTGCTTTAAAGTCCAAACAAAGGAAATACATGAATAATTTAAAGAAATAATTATGATTTTATTACTTTTAAAGTTGGTAGATAGATTACTAAATATTTTAGCTAAAAGCCCTTACAAATATGTACAACGAGTTGTTTAAATACTAACCCTATGAGTTTCAACTAGGGTAGAATTTTTCCTTTCCTAAGCCAAACCTTACTCTCCCGAATATAATGTACTTATGCAATCTATATTTAATTAGAACATATTCTTATTTAGCCCAATTAAATATGTATCCACATATTATAAGGATCCACTAAAAAGCTTTTCCCTAAAAGATAGAAATCCATAAAATAAATGGATTCTCAATCCTTGCTTAATCGTCCACCTCACTCGAATTTTTTTTAAAATAATTAATCAATGGTTTAATAATTTTATCCCAAATCCAATATATAAAAATAAATCTGAAATAATAAGAATCCAATTCATATATGTATTAAATAAATAAAGCATAACAATTAACGGATAAGAGCCTAAAATTTTTAGCAATTGAGGCGTAAAGCATTCGGCCATGATGAAAGAGGAGACACTTTTGTTTTAGAAGGTATCAAGATAAAGTATGGTATGAGGTAATTTTAATAGATTCATGCTATATTTTTTTAGAAAGCCTTTGGTTATTTGATTGATGTGTGGTGCTTGATGGATTAAAAAATGCTTACCCATTTGAATTCGAGGAAAAGAAAGTTTTAATGCCTCTAAAGAAAGAACCAATGACTACGAATAGTCAAGAAAAGTAGCCTTGAGAATCGATGTTCCTTAGGATATTGGAAAAGCATGATGAGGTCGAGAAAGAGGATAAAGAGGTTAACCTTATGGTGTCGAGGGCACTCAAAATTCCAACGAGAAGATTGAAAATGGTGTTAATTTTGATGATGCCATAGGCAACAAATTTCTTGATGAAAAAAGTGACATTTTTACTACCTATAATGATTTAGCCAAGAGTGTGAGCTCTCATGATGAGTGTGGCATACAAGTTAAAAACTTGTGGGACGTTGCCAACCTTGAAAGAATTGATGAATTGTCCGTCCATAGTAAAGAAAAGGAGCGGCATGTCATTAAAGTTAAGGACTCCTTTATTGTGATTATTTAACCACATGTTGTCTACAAGAATCAAACATGGCAGCCATTAATGAATAGAAAGATGATAAGAACAAGCATGCTAAAAATTCACATAATGTTGCTAGAGCAACACTATCCAAACTAACCTAGGTCGCATCAAGTCGAGCTATGCATAATGTGGTAGTTCTAGCCTTAAATAATGAGTGAAAAACTTCACAAACAAAGGCGGAAAGTCGTTACCATCAAAGAAATTATCAATAATAAACTTGTCGTCATCATTATCGTTATCGCATCATTCCTACATAGCGTTATTGCCATAAAAAAAAAAATCAATCGTGGTAAGTATGTAGAAAGGGGCGAGTTGTATTAAGGAATTTCGGTAAAGGAAGAATCAAATAATAATAGACAAAATCTTTTGTTTTGGTTCGACTAGTGCTCGTCTATGAAAAAGAAGATGATATAAATTTAAGAAGACATTTCCCTCATATTTATTGAAGGAAAAAGATAATATGAAATTTCAAGTTGTCAATTATATTCTTTACGAAAATGGTAAACCCATTCGGGGAATTTCTAGCAAAACTATTCAATTAGTTCATCCTTGTTTAGTTTTGTATTGGAACTAAGACAAAAAAAAGTTTGTTTATCGAAGAGGCTAATATTTAATTTGTTGAAGTAAGTATAAATGGTTTGAAACATGATTTTCTAAAATCTATTTAAGGAAATCCTGCATTTCATATAATGATAGAAAAAGGAACCATCCATCGGGTTGGAGATTGATCTTTTATAACGGACCACATAGCACCAATATTAATCCATTTTATTCCTGTTATTCCAAGAAAAATATTCCACAATCACTTAAACAAAATAAAGAAACTATTAATACGTCGTTGAATAGAAATATGAAATGTCAATCTTTGATAATTTGGTCATCATCTAATTATTTTTGAATGGATCCATCCAAGGATGTAAAATATTACAATATAATGAAAGAATTAACTAAAATTGATCTTATAATTGCAATTAGGAATTTGTTTGGTCCTTTAGGAATAACCCCTAAAATTGCAAATTCTAATTCATTTTACCATTTACTAACTTATGATGAGATCTTGGTAATTAAATATTAGAAACTTAACAATTCCAAAGTAACACGAGACTTTAAAAGTCCTTAAATATTATTTAATGGATGAAAATGATAGAATTGCCAATCACTATCCGTGTAGTAACAACATTTTGAATCCATTCAAATTGAATTGATATTTTCTCCATCATAATTATCATCATAATTGTTGTGAAGAAAAATTCACAATAATTAACTTGGGACATTTTATTTGTGAAAATATCTCGTATAGAAAAAAATGGTAAACGCCTAAAATTAGGTCAAGTCATAATTGCTCACGTTGACTCTGTAATACTAAGATTGGTTGAGCTCTATTTGGCCACTCTAAGAACAACTATTCATGACTATTATGGAGAAATCCTTTACGAAGGAGATACATTAGTTACATTTATATAAAATTTAAAAATTGAGATATGGTGATATACGCTGGGTCTTCCAAAATAAAACAAGTAGAAGTGCTTTCAATTGATTTAATATCGATAAACCCGGAAAAGAGTGGAGAGTTGGAATGAGTGTATAACATGAATTGATGGAATTCCTTAAGGATTGTTGATTGGTGCTCGGCTAACTTTAATGCAAAGTCGTATTTTCTTGACAATAAATTCAAAAGGTTTATCAATCCCGGGGGTTGTAGATCCATAATAGGCATATAAAAATTATTTTAGGCCAAGTAACATCAAAAGTCTTGGTTTTAGAAGATGGAATGTCTAATGTTTTTTCACACGAAGAACTAATTGGATAGTTGCAAGTAAAAGGAGTGGTGTGTGTTTTGGAAGAAACGATCTGTTACCAAACAATATTCTTAAGAATAACGGGAGCATCTCTAAGTACTCAAAGTTTCATATACGAGGTGAGGTTTCAAGAAACGACCCACATTTTAGCAAAATTTGCTCTCTACTATCGTATAATACCCTTTGGCACCGGATTCAAAGGATTAATGCACTACTTTTAGAGGATTAGCACACTCCAGTAAGGAAACATAAGATCATTCCTTTAAAAACCAAAAAAAAAAAAAAAAGAACTATTCAAGGGAAATGAGAGACATTTATTTTCACCACAGAGAGTTATTTGATTCTTGCATTTCAAAAAACTTCAATAATATATCAGAACAATCATTTATAGGATTCAATGATTCTTAAGAGTGGATTCCTCCTTTTAATTATTAGTGGTCTTGTGATTTCTTACATTTACATGTGATTTGTTAAGAGTATAAATAAAGATAACATAAAGATAATAAGGAATATAAAGAAATAAATTGCTTGGATCGTGTATCAACATCCAATTATGGGAAAATAAAAAGTTTCATCACAACAATTATTTATTTTAGGGTATCTCATTTCTGTTTTTCTTTTCTAAGGAAAAAAGAGAGAAAATGATGAGAGAAATGATAAAGAGTATTGGAACATTAATTTGAAAGAGATGTTGGAAACATGAGTTAATTTTGGTCATGCTACTTGGAAAATGGAATTTGAAAATGGAACCTTATATCTCTACAAAGCATAAGGGTATTCATATTACAAATCTTACTAGGTCTACTTGTTTTTATCGAAGTGTGTGATTTTGTTTTTGATGCGGTAAGTAGGAAAAAAATAATTCCTAATTTTTGGTACAAAAAATAAAGCGAGTTGATCCAATAACATGAGTTGCAATAAGAGCTTGGTGTTATTATGTTAATAAAAAAACACTCGAGGGCCTTCTAAATGAATTAATCCACTACAAAAATAAGACTTCAAAAGTTTATGGACCTAAGAGTGGAACAAAAGAGAAGGAAATCAACCGCCCTCCGAAAAGGGATGTGTCTCGATTAAAGAGATATTTATTTCACTTGCAAACATATTTGGGCGGAATTAAATATATGACATAATTAGCCAATATTGTAATGGCTCTTCAAGAATGTATCACTTTGGAAATTCTAACTATTTGTTTAATTGATACAAGCTGTGACTTAAATCTCATAGATATTTCGATTCCAATGAATGATGACGCTATAGCTTCAATCGATTAATTGTTAATAAATTAGTATTTGTAATTTGTGAAGGGGGCTCTAGCTATATATGAAATCCTTGATTAATAATAAGATAAATAAATTATTTTTTAAATTCCATATATTGAAGAAATCATTACCATTCATGAACCTCATAAAAGAGATAAAAAAAACTAAGGATATTATGTGATTGAGTAGTGCTACATGACACCGGTGGTGTAAAAAAAAAAAAAAGTCACCATAATTTTATAAGAGTAGTGTTTTTTTGGATGGATATAAGGAAGGAAAAAAATTGGATACTTTATTTTTGGAGGGAAAACAATATATAAAGCAATATATTTCGACCAATCCTTGTTTATCATATAAGGTTCGGATTCCCAATTATGCTAATGATGAAGAGGAATTTAGAAAGACAATTACTTACAAACAATAGTTAATGTTAAGAAATAAGCTGTTGAAGAATCTAACATATAACAAGTTAGCTACGAAATATATTAATTTTAGCACACTTGTTTCAACACGTTGAATTTACACTAATAGATAAGCAACAATATTTAAAGCAATAAATTTAAGATAAATCCTTCATATTTTTATCGTGTAAGGTTTGAATTCCCAATTGATCAATGAATTACAAATAATACTTTCATGGTAAGACATAACGAGTCTTAAATATGCTAAGACATATTAGTTGAACTAAGAAGTATATTGTTTTAAGCATACTCTTTCAGCACACTATATTTACACCGATGGATAACCAACAATATTTAAAGCAATAAATTTAAGATAAATCCTTCATATTTTTTTCGTGTAAGGTTTGAATTCCCAATTGACCAATGAATTACAAACAATACTTTCATGGTAAGACATAACGATCTTAAATATGCTAAGACATATTAGTTGAACTAAGAAGTATATTGTTTTAAGCATACTCTTTCAGCACACTATATTTACACTAATGGATAACCAACAATATTTAAAGCAATAAATTTAAGATAAATCCTTCATATTTTTATCGTGTAAGGTTTGAATTCTCAATTGAGCAATGAATTACAAAGAATACTTTCATGGTAAGACATACCGATTGAAGAAAATGCTAAGACATATCGGTTGAACTAGGAGGTATATCATTTTTAGCACACTCTATCGAGCACACTAAATTTGCACTAATGGATTTTCAAACCGAGTCTTTCTTATTTATTGTGTCGAGTTTACCCCTAAATATTGCATACGCTTTATTTCTAACCACTTTTGAATAATGATCTAACAACATAGATATTAGAAGAATGCTCCAACGACGGAGATAACAAAGGAAAAAAAAACACAAAGAGAAGGGAATGGATGAACAACTATAACAAGTACTGCTAATATACATCAAAAGGAAAAAAGAGATGAAATGAGATTGGTTGAGTTGGGCAATCAAAAAAGTAAATAATCAATGATGCACGGTTAACAAAGCCACTAACATTGATATTATAAATAAATTATTGTTAAAATTTGAAATTCAAGTTTCTGTTGTTCAAAATTACAAAACCCTAGTCCGAAATTTTCAGTGAGTATTATGTCATTTAACTTTTTCACTTTTCAAGTTTATCCTTAAAAAATTTCTATTTTTGAAAATGGTGTTTGTCGCCATGGTGTCACCAAGCATTTTCGTATGTGATTAGTTGGTATCTAAATTATACAATTCAAGTGAGCAAGTCGAAAAAAAGATGTTTGAATCAAAACAATTTCTTGTGAAGTTTTTGTTTTAGAGGAAAATATGAATCTATTATCGGATTCCATTAACACATTAAAAGGGTTATGTGAAATATTCGGTATGGAAGTAGGCCAACATTTCTATTGGAAAATAGGTCGTTTCCAAGTCCTTGCCCAAGTACTTATTACTTCTTGGCTTATAATTGTTATCTTATTAGGCTTAACTATTGTAATTGTTCGGAATCCACAAACCATTCCTACCGATGATCAAAATTTCTTTGAATATATCCCTAAATTTATTTGAGATGTGAGCAAAATCCAGATTGGAGAGGAATATGGTCCATGGGTTTCCTTTATTGGAATTATGTTTAATTTTCTTTTTTATTGATATTTTTTATTCTCATTCTTATTTTATTCTTTTCAACCAAACAACTATTAAGTGAGAATATATATATCTCCCAAATATGTACATATACATCTTTGCTCCTTTCACTTATGACCTTTGCTTCCCTGGTCAATGATGTTACCAAAAGCAATTATATTCATTTAGAAAAATAAATCTATACTTACGGTATAAATTTTTTTTTTTTTTTTTTTTACAATAATTTCCATTTTTTTTTTAACCAAAATTTCTCTTTTATTTTTTCTTTCTTTTTAAGGATTTTTTTAAAAAATATAATTAGTTTTTATATATTTTCGTTGCCAATCCAATAACAAAACTTGTTACATTTTTTTTTAATTGACAATACTTAAAGTATAAAATTAAACCTAGCAAAAGTTAATATTATGATAACAAAGCAAATGGATTGCACAATAAATTAATGAATGTATGTAATTGATACTTTTAATTTTAATTTTGTTTCAATTTATGATAGATCCGAAAGCTTTTTCTTGGAAGTTATATATGTGCAGAATATGATAACTTTTTAAGTGCCAAAAAAATGTACAAAATAATTGTTTAAGGTGATATTTTTAGCTATGTATATATGCAATGTGAAGTATGATCGCTTAATAAGACAATAGACTATTGTTTTTTAATTTTGCAACAAATAATTAACCTAATTTATTTTTACATTTGTAATTATTGTGTATATTTTTATTAAATGAATTTATTTTTTAATTAATATTAAAAAATTCTTGATCTTTGTTAAATTTGATAGGTAAACATCCTTTTATTTTATTAATTTTCATGATTTGAAAGGAATTATATTGCATAAATGTAAAGGAAAAGTGAGCTTTTTTTTTTTTTTTATAGATAAATGAATAAAATTTATAAGATATGAATAAGATTTTCATTTAAAATAAAATAAGATAATTTTGAGGAATTTTATTATAATCTCTTAACTTTTTTAGTCCTAAACCGTAGTATGATAGTTTATTTTATTTTTTATTCCTTACAATATTGGGAGATTTGATTTTAATGTATCAAATGTTTTCAAAATTTATATGTATGGTATTTTATATTATTTAATTTCTGTCATCAAATTATGAAAGATTTAAATCCTTTAAAATTAATTAAAAAAATCAAAATTATGCCGTTTTTGCATAATAATAATAATAATAATAATAATAATAATAATAAAACCACTTATTATTTATTTGTTTTCAAAATGGCAACATTTTGGTTGATTAGGCCCATTTTGCATAATGAATAGTGTTACAATTGGTTTAAAACCACTTATTTATTATTATTATTATTTTCACAATGGCATCATTTTGGTTGATTAGTAGGACTAACAACTTGCCCCGTCCCGAGGGAACCCCGCCCCACCCCACCTCGATCAACGTAGGAATTCCCCGAGTTGATCGGGAAACGGGCGGGCGCCCCTTCTCGTATTAATTTTGAACGGGGATAGGGAAGGGATGATATTTCTCTGTCCCCCTGTTTGCCTCGCTCCATCCCTAAAATTACAATTATACTATATATAAAATATATGACTACTAACTCTTAGGATTTATTTTCTATATGAACTATTATTTTTTTGCTATAGTTTAAAATTTGATAGTAGAATAGAGCAAAACGGGGCGAAAAAAAAATTAAATGGGGCACTAGTGCCTCACAAGGATCTCGTCCCCGTTTGGGATGGGGATGGTATGAGAAATATTGCACGGTACCGGGCACGGGGATGGCCATCCCCACCTCCGCCTCGCCCCATTGCCATTCCTATTGATTAGGCGCATTTTGCATAATGAATAGTGTTAAACTCTCAATTGGTTTAGTGTTATACTAGTTTTTTGTTCATCGACGTTTCACTGCAGGTCGAATAAAATGCATAAAATT